ACGCGCCGCAAGCGCCGCAAGCGCCGCCGCAGGGAGAGTGAGCTGCTGGAAAACCGGTTTGACCAGTTTTGAATCGGTTTGACCGGTCTGAACCGGTTTGACCGGTCTGAACCGGGTTGACCCGACCCGACTGACCCGACCCGACCCGACTGTTGACCCGACCCGACCGTTGACCGTTGACCGTTGACCGTTGACTTCCTTTGATCAAAACTTAAAATGGCTTTGACTGAGCATTAAACGACCGTTAATCTTTTCCGAGTATACCTATCCTGATAGTTTTCGACGTGCCGAATCCGTTTCCGCTGTCCGTTTCATCAAATTCGAATCCGAAGGCCTCCAAATCGATGGTCAAAGTGGTTGACTTTGACTTTGACCAAGAATTTGGATTTTCGAAAAGTCATACTTTATATTTTTCGACGTCCTGATTCCGATTCCGCAATCCATTTGGCCAAATTCAGACTCGAAATACCCCAAATTGATAGTCAAACTCGGAAAATGCTTAGATACTTAAGAATTTTAGCTTTGAACAATTAAGTAAGATTTGGAGCTGATAAATTATTGTTATTTGAAGGTGCACGAGACTCACCGGATCGTTCAACAGCTCGACCCAGCTCTTCTAGATCAGTTAAACCACGTATGCCAGTATTCACCCGTAAGACCCGTAAATTTTATGATTTTAGAGATTTATTTATGTTACCCATAAGTAATATAATGTTACTATAAATTAGGTTCGAAAACTGTAGCAGAGCGTGGTGAAACCAGCAATCAGTAGATCTACGATTTGAACCTATTATCGAGGTGTGTTCCCTATTTATTATTGAACTGTTTTATTTGTTTTAATATGTGGTACACTGAATTCTTTGGTTACCGTATTGTTGATGCACCGATTTAATGTGATGATTTATGGATTATGACTGTTATCTGATATTTGTTTTGAAATGGTATAGAATTACCATGTTTATGGTTTTATGGAATTTATAACACGGTGCAATTGAATTTTTGGAATACGAATTTATAAAGTACAGCTCTGATCAAACTGGAAAATTTTACAGACCTAATGTGACTCTTAGGTAGGCTCTGCGGCCCTGAGATTATTCTCGGGTAGGCCCTGCGGCCCTAAGATGTGTTCTTAGGTAGGCCCCATGGCCCCGAAATCTATCTTGGGTAGGCTCTCAGGCCCTAAGATGTTCCCTTAGGGTAACGCTTTTTAAAGAGATTTACTGCAGTATAATTTTATGAGACTTTTTGGACTATGATATGTTTAGTGTACCTATAGTGATTTTATGGTAATGTTGGGACACACTGAGCCTAGCTCACTTTTCGAAAATGTTTTCCCCCTTTCAGATACTGTTGGTTAGATACCCTGGATTGAGCACTTGGAGGATCAACATATCTCTTGAAGTATATCTGATTGTAATGTTTTTACCTTGCAAGTTGACTTTATTTTGTTGACATGGACCTTATTTTAAAGTATGGGATTTTAATATGATGACATTTTTACTATTACTATTCGGTTTATCGTGATTTGATTTTTAAGATATGTTTTAAATTAATTTATTACTTATTGGTATTATATTTACAAGTTAGGTTTTGATAGTATGATTTATTATAATTTCATGTCATTTATAATGTGATTTTACATTGTTTGAATAACAGTTTCGGAAAAATGTCTTAAAGAATCATAATGTGATCCACTAGACTTAGTCGAAACGCATAGGCCGGGTCTAGGGGGTTACATTATCAGTTGCGATTTTGCTCTATCCGATAGCCGTCTTCCGCAACAGTCACCCCTCTGAAAGTTTAAAAGTATCAGATATTTTAGATATTTTTTTATTTTTTTATTAAAAATCTATTTTCACTCCCTAAAATTTTAGTTTATCTTCTTAAGTTTAAATTCATCCCCTAATATAAAATCATGCAAACCGTATCTACTAACAACCTTGTCACAAATAAATTACACTGATAGCGTATCTTTGATACCTTTAAGTTTTATTCGTTCACATTGTTTATCCATTTTCATCTTAATTTTTTATTATATACCATAAGATTAATAATGATAATTATAAAAAATAATAACTAATTTATTTATTCTACACAAATTATTTATGACTATCTTTTATTTTCATAAATTGTACACTATCATTATACGATTTACTTTTTGATTGAGTTATGTTTTCATATTTATAAAAATAGTTATCTAACATATCAACTATCAGTTTAATATCTTGAAATGCATCAGTTTTTGATACATCAAAGATTCAAGTCACACACGTATAATTCTATATTTTGAATGTTACAAGTGAATTTAATATATAAATGAATTTAAAATTAATTCATTTTAGATCCAATATAATGTTTAATCAATTAAATCAATTTTATACCGTATGAATAAAACCAGCTTGACAAAATCATTGACTCCTGATCTTAAATGTTCTTCTGCTATAAACATATACAAAATTATTGCTTTATACCTAATTATACATGCAATTTTTAAGACATAACATAAGAATCTTTGAAACCTCTTCACATTATGATATCTTATACAGCTTCTCAAGAAACAGACAAACCCATAATAAGGCCAAAATCGTACAGTCTTTATGCAGGAGTGGAAATTAGTTATAATCTTAGCAATTTATTTGTTTTGATTATTCCATATAAAAGGGCCGTGGACTGCTTAAGGATACAAAACGACCGACTTAACTACAAAAATATATTTATGTATTTAAAATGGGATGTTATTCAATTGCAATAAAATCTAAGCATAACATAGAATAATTGAAACAAAATATTAATTGGTTCTATGTTTGGTACATGAAATCTATCATTTTGTCTGTTCAAAGATTGAATTAATTTTTAGAAGGGAAAAAAACCATATATAAACGATCCCTCTTTAATACATTTTAGCATAATTCATTTTTGTCGTATATGAAAATCTTGTTCTGACGTTATTTACGTTTACCAACTTTATCGCACAAAATGTGGCGCAAATTGCAGCCAACGAATTGAATTATAGACCAGTTGATCTACTTGTTGTTTCTCAAATTTCAACTTTAATGGTAAACTAACAATTTAGCCCCCAAATCTAATAATTTGATATGTACAGTTGGTTAAATTCATCGTCGAAAAATCTGACTTGTAATTAGATTTCGATTTCAGTAATGATCGATATCTTGTGGATTAAAGTTTAGAATATTAGAAATATATACTTGAAATATGATTTGTATATATTTCGATATAAAATATGAATGTATACTTGATATACTTTTTAAATTTCTATCAAATTTCAAATTAAATAAATTGATTTTTTTATAAAAAAATAGATTACTTTAGTTAATGTACATTTCGTACATGAGTAATAAAAACAATCTAAGAAGTTGACCCTTTTCATTAGTAAGTGACATGTGTTCAACTGTGATTGAATAATTTTTTAAATAAAATAAAAACTGAAAAATTATTAAATTTTTTTAATGATTTTTGTATCAACTTTTTCAATTAAAATCTTACTCATTCAAGATTAAAATTTTCAATTAAATTCTTGTTATTATTTTTTATAATTTTTTTACGTAAAATTTTGTTTATATAATATTGATTCTTAATATTAATCTCTATCTATATGTATATTTACTTTTTGTGTCCTTTGGTCATTTCTTGAAGTAATTTCAAAATTTGTTCGGAGTTCATGGTTTTTACAAAATTCAAATATAATATTAGCGATGATTCTTACATTTTAATCACCTTAGCTTATTAAAAAAATATTCTAAAGGCGTAAAAATGGCTTTTTGATGATATATTTGTAGAACATGAAAGCACCATGGAGAGCAGTTTGTGATGGCATAAAGTTATTATTGCTGGAGGTGCAGCTAAACCGGGGAAATCTCTGCAACAATATGATGTTGTATGTGGAGTTTTGCAATGGAGAAGACATCCCTGTGGTTGGGTCAAAGCTAATACCAGCGGAGCGATTAGATGGGGTCATGGAGCGGCCGCATGTGGTGGAGTAATAAGAGACGATCAAGGGAGATCATTGTTTGGCTTTTCAAGAAGTCTAGGGATTTGCTCCGTCTTCATTTCTGAAGTATGGGCATGGAGATTGAGATTCAAGAAAATCGAAGCGGAAACGGATTACATTGAAGTCTTTAATGCCTGTCCATGAACCGCTTGCACTAGAAGACAATGCTATTGCAGATGCAACGAAAGTTCTTTTGAACCAAACTTGGTAGGTGAAGATACGCCATGTTCGACTCGAACTCAATAATATTGCAGGTTTTTTGACGGCTTTATGTCGAGGCAAAAAGAAATCATATTCTAACTTAAAGTTCAATTATCTTACTTGCAATAATAATGCATACTAAAACCTAAAACGTAACATTAAATGTCTTTTTTACTGGCTGTTTCTTGGTGTGATTGTAGAAGCTAATTAATATTTATATTTTTTTCTAATTGTAATATTATTTTAAGTGAAGATAACAAAGTTTGAAGTTAGAATATTGATTAATTTTGTATTTAAATTTAATAAGTGTTTAAAAATTTATGTGAACGTTCACAATATATATATTGAGAGGGATTAATTTGCTGAGGAGGGGATTAAACATGGAGGATTAGAAAGATTGTTTTGCCCTTTTTTAATAGTTGTTAGGTAAACAATTGAAAAAATCAACAATTGGGGAGAAACCAAAGTTTTAAAGAAAAAAAATACAGGGGCTTCATTCATAAAAATAAACTATAAGGATTAAAATTTAAATTCTAAAACAGTACAGTGACCTTTTGCATATTTAAACCTATCGTATTTTAATAACAATTTGAATAGTAATGGACCCAAACGAGCTAGTTTAGGTCAAGGAATCTAGTTCGGCTCAACACATAGATCCATAGTCAAGTTTCGGCTATATAATATTCTGTTTTTTTGGGATTTTCGTACATCAAAAGGCTTAAAGCCCAAATAAGGGGTTTAAACCTATTAAAACCAGATGCTCTTTGAATAGCTCCAATATTCGGCCGACTAACCCTCCTTTTTCATATACTTGGATTCAAGAAACGGCGAGGCGAGTTAGTGCTCCTTGAATTACCGGTGAACTTTAATCGATAAGCCATGGATGATATTAGTGACAGAAACGAGAATGAAAGATTAAAAAAGTAAGTAGTGCATGCTCGATTTTCACAGTGAGGAGTATAATTTTATTTGTTTATCGTTGTTTATTTTATGGGTTCCAGGGAAACTAATCAATTAGCTACAGTGTTGAAAGAAATGAAGTCGGGCTTAGATTTAGTGACTGCCAAAGTAAAAGCTTTAACTGCTAAGGTAACAAGCTTCGGCCATCGCCAATCTCATTTGTTTTTCTTGGGTTTTTTAGCCTCGTGTTGTTTTAAATTAGTATTCTCCGTTGATTTGGATGACAGGTGAAAGCAAATAGCTTGCCAACCGCGGATGGGATAAGTTATTTGGAAGCCAAACATCTGTTGCTTCTAAACTATTGCCAATCACTTGTGTATTATTTACTTCGCAAGGCAAAAGGGTATTCAATCGAGGGACATCCCGTTGTTAGGAGTCTTGTTGAAATTAGGTTGTTTCTTGAAAAGGTTGTGGGATCTTTGTTTCTCTTCGTTTATTTAGTATTTGTTTATTTCTATTTTATTGTCTTAGTAATTTTTTATTTTATTTTTTGTTATAAAACAGATTAGGCCGATTGATAAAAAACTTCAATACCAAATTCAAAAGCTTACAAGGGTTTGTGGGAGTGCAACACAGCAGCAATCAGGTCCGAATGAAGCACCAAATGGACCTGAGAAGACGGAGGATCCTTTGAATTTCCGCCCGAACCCAGATATGCTTATTAGCAAAGCAGATATGATATCAGATGTTAGTGTTGCCAAACATATTAACTATTGAGTTGAAATTTTGCTGTTTTACTATGCTTTTTTAGGTTGTTAAGCCTTTATTGTGCTATTGTAGGATGGTACTGGTGTTTATAGACCACCCAAGTTTGCCCCTGCAGTTGTGGAAGAGGATCATAAGATGTCGAGAGAGGAGAGGAATGCTTTAAGAAGGGAAAAGGAAACTTTGCGAAAAGCTTCTCGGAGTGCTTATATTAGGCAAATGATGGATGATTTAGAAGGAAAGCCTGAAGAGGTCCGTTGTTACTGTTTTCATATCATCACTTGGGTTCACTTTATTAATTCAGCTAACACATTTTTTCTCTAATTATTCCAGGTTAGAGAAGTTATTGGAACTGAAAGTAGAGAACTCACTAGATATATGGAAAAGATAGAAAGGCGTGCACAGCAAGAGGAAGAACTTTTCACTCGTGCTCCTGTTACAAAGAAGGACAAAAAGATAGAGAAACATTTGAAGAAGTCAAGAAATGGGTATGGATTTTACTCGGTTCCTTTCAGTGCGATAATTTTGGTGAATATTTTCCATGCTGAGTTTTCGTTTTGTGTAATTCCCTCTGCTTGACTGTTTATCCCTTGTTTGTATCAGGTTGATTGGTCTGACTGATAGTTTCTATGACGAAATTAAAACTTTACCATTGGGGGTTGATGCTAGTGAGCAACCAACAAGCTTCAGTAATGGTACCAGTGGAATGGGGAAGATCAAAAAGCGCAAGGTATGTTGTTTGAACATTTTTCATCAATTTTTCATTTACCCATAACTCCATTATCTACTTTTATTGACCTGAATGACACCAAACAATAGCGCTTTATATGGTTAATTATTCAGTCTTACATAGGGGCTAATGTTATGGATGTACCTAATTGCGTTGATAGGACTCGACTTATTGTCGATGAGACTTCTTGTTGTAGCCTGATGCCTGCTGTATTGTGGGTTGGCATGAAGCACCTAATATATTGTAAGAAGCGACACAGACAATCCTCCTTGATTGTATCTGTTGGCTTGACATTAGTTTACCTATCATATGGCATCCCTATAATTACTTTTTTTATCATATAATATCTTCCAAGTATTCATAAAATTTTTAGCCAGGCTTGTATTTACTATATATATATATTTCAAAATGTTTTTTAGACTTATACAACGTAGAGGCTGACATCTTGTCTGCTTGTTTGCAGAGGAAGCATTAATGGCAACAAATTGGATGTACATGTTAAAAGGGACCTGAAGTTAGAATGACGATTTTGCATTTGAGTTCTCTTGAAAGCATTTTCTATAAGTTCTGGATTGCATTAAAAGTTTATTAATTTTCTTTCAACGATAAGTTAGTTCATTAGACTGAAATATATAATAGGAATGGGATTTGTTATGTTTCAGTACTAAAATCTTCCGTTGCTGCCCGTTTTTGTTGTATCTTCGGCCACCTTTGGTCCGGCCTACCTCTTATTCATTTATAATTAACATATGCAGGGTTTGAAATTTTATCGAACTTATCATTTAGAGATTTTTTTATTGTGGACTTATCGTTTTAAGTTTTGTTTGGTGGGATGAACCAAGAAGTGAGATTGAAAATTCATTAATATAATGATGAAGCTGTTTAGTTAAATTGATTCATGTAAGATGATATTGAACACGTTCAAAAGTTTAGTTATAACATTTTTTGTGAGGTTTCTTTTGTAATAAAATGATAGTGAAGATATTAAGGAGCGGTCGATCATATTATTGTGCACTGTAACAATTTTCTAATAAAAAATAAATGCCTCACTCGAGGGAGAAAATGCTGCCTTAAGCATATTAAATTGTCATTAAATGGTTTTACATCGAATCACTGATGACCAACTGTAAATTTGTAATATCAATCACTTTTAGAGCCTTCCTTTGAAGGTTGTGCAATGTTATAGAGAATAAGACCCGACATGAGAACTAAACTACCAAACAGGAAAAAGGGACTTAAGCTTGAACCATCAGGGAGATACGGCAATGGAAGGGAGAGAATGTAAATTGAAATAGGCACTGCGATGTAAACCGAAAGGGAAATGAGAAAAGAAATTAGAACAATGCTAAAATGGAGGTTTAAAATAGATTCAACTATGTACATGTTGTGGCAGTCATGCATGTATGCATGCATATGATCATGTTACCCTGCATGTAAATTGAGTGAGAAAGTTGACCTGACAATGTTACAGCGAGAGATGCAACAATGGCTGAGGATACTTTCAATAGATTAAGCACTGATATGTTGAAAGCCATATTGGTAACTATGTAAAGTAGTGGAAGTAATGGAGCCCCCTCACAACCTGGAGTGAAAATTGCAACTTACTATTAACCTAACTTTATGGTGAATCTGATTTATTTGACTAACAGAAGTGTGTGCAAAACGAATGGCCAAAAGCTTAAATAGGGATATCAACCATTTTCATAACATAAACATGACTTCGATTTACAGCACAAAGCTAATGGCTAAAAATTGCACCTTATTTTAGTACATGTTCAAAATTGCTTATTGACAATCCAAATTCTGTAGCGCCAAGTTTAGAGGGTTTTTGCATCTTATATATATATATACCCACAAGTATATTAAATAAAAATGTAAACTTGCCTGATATTTCACCTCCTAGTTTTAGAAAGCATGCAGCACCACTTTTAATATATGAAGTTCAAAGAACGGTATCCCTTTCAGATTTGACAACAATGGCAACAAAAGAAGCACAAAGAGAGCCTACAAGTCCAAGGAAACATTAAAATGCAACAATGGAACATATGTCGGAACATACAAAATGCTCAAGGAAAGCAGTGGCTTAAAATGTAGATATTTTTAATTGAAATGAAGCTCTGCAAGTAGGTAGGTAGGTAAAATGAACATCGATTATTGCAAAACTTGATTAATAGAGCAGCTGAATCTGGCTATTTCTCAGGACCTTTGAACCATCCAAGATCTATCTAAATGACCAACTTTTGATGTGGCAATACTTTAAACAACTAGGTTTCCCTTGCTTAGTTTAAAGAAAGGAAGAGCATGTATAGGAGTTGATCATCTTTCATGGTAAGTTTTTGGAAACATGGAAAGTTTTTATAGAAACATTAAGACCGTCTACTCAAACTAAGATAAGCCAGAATTCAATTCCATTTTTATTCCATCAAAATGAGCCCATCAAAAGAATTGAAAAGAATGCATTTTGAGAAAGATTTTTATTCAAATATTTGAATCTTGAAAGACCAAATGAGCTTTTACGGCAAAACAGCAGACATACCTGAAATACAGATCCAAAAGAATTGACAACAAATATATCAAGTGACTTCTCCTGCTCAAGTATATTTAAAAGTTTGAGCATCAATGAGGAAATAAACAAGACAAGCTTATATGGAAAGCCAGTGAGAGAATATTTATACATCGAGTCGCTTTGCAGCATCAAGAAAAACAAATTCCTGTTTCAAGAAAGGAAATAACGTTGTTATGTTTGCTTGTAAAATACCATAGAACTAACAACAGATGGAAATTGTTTGAACCTTAATAATAGATGCACCGGCTTGAAAAGCTGCTGATATTATCATCAGTCCTGGCCACAAACTTAATTCCGGATAGCATCTGACCAGTATCAGAACCACTAAAATTACAAAAAACAGCAAACTACCATCAGATCTTTACCCCCACTCAAGTAGCAAGGAGAAATGCATGTATGGAGACACTCAATTCTGAAATGATAGTCCGGCCAAAGCAGTGCCCTAACAGAATCATGGTACTTTACTGAACTGCTCTTCTTTAAGAAGTGAAACTGTTCTTGACCAAAAAAGGGGGGGGGGGAAGATAATCGGTTTACTTGTGTCGGGTACCTTAGAATAACAGAGATATATTCCGTTCCATTGAAGACCACCTAAGAAGAATTTTAAGCTACAATGCTATAGCACAACAAATGAATGATGCAGACTGGAATATTTCTACCGTTGTCTTTTCAGTAGCTTAAGCCATCAAGTAATTTTACTTTATGCATTTTTAGGCAAAAATTTTATGAGAACAAAGTGTCCATTAGGTAGGTAAACTCTTCCACTAGGCTTGCACCTTTGCACCCTATAGAAAATTGAAGGTGAATACCTACAGGCTACAGGTGCAATTATTGGCAGTAAAGAACATATACCATTAACATAACTTGTAACAGCTATTATTACTCCTACTGCTACAAGCAAACAGCCGCCAATTTGGTTAAATGAATAACGCCTCCACAATAGAACAGCTGAAAATACAAGCTGCCACACTAAAAAGGTCTGCAAGATAATAGAAGTATTATTTTGATTCCTAATACAATATACTCTCAAACATCTGTAAATCGACAACGAACATCTAATCCAAAATTAAATAAGGGAAATCTTTTCTTGTGTTCCTTTACTTATCCAAAGAAGTAGATTTATCGAAGGCATATTCCAATCATTTTAAAGAGAAAACCTGATTCAATATTGGAATGGCTGGTCCTGGAAGTATCGCTGTAGAAATTACAAAATAAATACAGAAGCCAAAATTAAACTCATTAAATCAAACACACACAAAATGACATTTATTGCATCTTAATTCAGACAAATGGATCATTTGGAAATATCTTTTACAATTAAAATATTCAAATTTACGGATCAAGAATTCTAATATACTATTGAAAAGTTTGTACCATTCCACTAGCAACTCCAAGAGCTTCTAGCATACCGATGGCTGCGAATCGCGATTTAGGCAAACCTAACATTTCATTAGTTACAATCCCCGCCCAATAACGTATAAACAGAATCGAAAAATAAATCACCACGTACCTACATTTTTCAAATACAATTAATTTGCTTTTTTCTCTCTCAATAAAACTGAAATTTATTTGAAGTAGAAAGAATTTTACCCAAAAGTGGTAAATTGAGCTAAAAAGAAAGGGTATTCCTTCATGGGAACGAGTGCGAGCTTATAGAGAACGCGATTAGCAACAGCGAATGTAATAGTCACGGCGGAGCAGATTGCGATTAGCTTAGCATCGGCGGCGGCGCTTGGTGTTTTACTTGAAGCGCAAACTTTGAGATTAGGGCGGATGACGGCGGAGCTGTTGGGTGGAATTTTGGTGATGCAACAACGGTTGAGCTGGCGGTGGAATGAAGAACGGTTTTGAGGGAGTGACATTAAGATGGGAGATTGAAGCTTAGGTGAATTGGAGTTGCGAAGGATGGAAGTTGCGAGATGGGAGGGAAGCGAACGAAATGACGACGTGGCGGAGAATGACATTGTAAAGGAAGAAAGGTTGGCTGGATATGAGAATGCTGGCGGCTCACTGATGACTCAATTGCCTACGGGCGGAAGCAATGGTCCATTTATTGTTTATCTGAACTGGTTTTTGACTTTTTTTTGGATCGGGGAATTTTTCATTAAACCAAACAGGAAAGTTAAAATCTAGGGCAAAGTGTATAAATAGTCTCCAAACTTTTAGGGTGCTTATACTTTGGTCACTCAACTTTTGAAACTTGCAAGGAAATATCAAACTTTTAATTCGTTTTCAGTAAGATCCCTATTGTTGCCTCCCGATAGTTTTTGCTGACTTGGCACTTAACTGCCATTAAACGCATATCCCTTCCTCTTCCTTCTTCTCCCATTCCTGTTCACACCACCTCCGATTAGCCCAATTTGAGTCAGCGATGGCTTACACCGCCATAATCATCATCACCGACATTATCTCCCGACCACACTCTGACCCTCTATTCATACTCTCCGTCCATTTCAGAAAATACTGAAAAACCTATTTCAACCAAATTCATTTTTAATATTCTTAAAAAGTTGACTCGTTTGCTACACTTAAAAAGAAGGCTTCAATTTAAAAAAAAAAATTCTTGCACACTTTCATGTTATTTCAATTGGATTCAAAAACCCATTTAAGAAAATACTGAAAAAAAGTTGGGTCGACTTGATTGTTTCCCATTTAGGCTTCATTTGTAAGGTAAGGCCATTGATGAAGCTTTGATCTTTGAGAGTAAAGTTTGTTCAAAAAATTAATAAATAATTGAATAAAATTGATGTCTTTTAATAATAAGTTATATCACTTGATGAACAGACTTATTATTTGGTATAAAATTGCATCAATTCAATTATACCTATTAGTTTTTCAACAAATCTCTTCATCAAAAGGTCATCACCTTTTGATTAATTTCCTCTCCCCTATATATAGGTTAGTTGAGGCACAATCTTAGACACAACTTTGAGACACAATTCACAAAGTTGAATTAGGAAATCACTTAGAAAATTCTTTTTAAATTCGTTCTTTCAGGTGATAAAGAAAGACAAGATTGTGTTCGACTGATCACTACGGTTGTGCATACTGTTGTGATCGTTTGTTGTTGTATCCTGGGAGACCGGCGTCCAACGTTACTCAAAGCACCGAGGAGTGGACGAATATGTCTTAAGGAAACTGTTCATACAGGCCTCAACAAAAATCCTTCTTCGGTTTATCATACTCTACTCATCTGATTCATTGTCTAAATATAAGTAAACCAATGTCTTGCATGTACTT